GAGTTTTCTGGCTGGACAGGTGAAATTACTTTTTTTTCCTATTTTTTTTACAGCTCTCCAGGCCTGGCACTGTGGCTGTGTGTGTGTCCCCCCCTCACCCCCACCCGTGCCAGGTCCTGGCTGCTGAGATGGTGCTGGTGGTGCCCAACCCCGGGGCTGCTTTTGGCAATGGTAGAACTCACACTGGTGCGGTAGCAGGATCCGGTGGTTCTAGACTTGCCAACTACAGCCCCGGGGAACCACCATGGACACGGGACCCCCCCTCAACCCCCCACCCCAGCACCCATGGATGCAGTTGCAGGGGCCGTGTGTGGAGTTTTCTGGCTGGACAGGTGAAATTACTTTTTTTTCCTATTTTTTTTACAGCTCTCCAGGCCTGGCACTGTGGCTGTGTGTGTGTCCCCCCCTCACCCCCACCCGTGCCAGGTCCTGGCTGCTGAGATGGTGCTGGTGGTGCCCAACCCCGGGGCTGCTTTTGGCAATGGTAGAACTCACACTGGTGCGGTAGCAGGATCCGGTGGTTCTAGACTTGCCAACTACAGCCCCGGGGAACCACCATGGACACGGGACCCCCCCTCAACCCCCCACCCCAGCACCCATGGATGCAGTTGGGCACCTTGTGCATCCCCCACCCAGGGCTCTGCTGCTGGGCTGGGAGGGTGCTGGGGGAACAGTGATGCTGAGCACATTCCCTGCCCACCCCCCTGGCACCAAGAAGGGGGTCCAGCACCCCAGGGTGTCTCCTTGAGTTGGGGGGGGGGACAGGGACCTGTCGGATGCCGGTCATTGGAGCATCATGGCTGCTTGTCCCCGTGTGACTCCGGGTTTTTAGGGTTGATCCAGCCCCGTGATGTGGGGAGGGCAGTTGGGGGGGTGGAATTAGGTGGCCAAGTCCTGCCCCCCAGCTCTGGATCCAGCCCCCAACCCTGGATCTAACCCCGACCCAGCCCCCCAGGTGCTGGGAAGGAGGGGAGGGGGGGAACTGAGGCATCAGTGAAGCAGCTTGTGGTGGCAGCTGCCACATGTCCCCTGCCTGTCCCTGCGTGCAGGGGGGGTTGGTGACAGATATTGGGGGGGGTAGGAAGGAGGGGAAGGGGATAGCATGGGAAGGGGGACATGTTGGGGGGTGGAGGGAGGGTGGGGTGCTGTGCACGCCCCCTTCAAACCTTCCCCCCCCCTCCCAATCACTCTTGGGGTGCAGGGATGTGCCCCCCCCGTCCCCAAGCAGGGAAGGGGGGGGGGTGGCTGGGATATGTAGGGCAGCGCTGGGTGATTACGGGGCTTTCGGCGTAAGCCCGTGGAGATTGGATCAGGCTGGATTAGGCCTCAAATCATCCTCCCTGTGCCGGGAGGGGGCGGGGAGGGACGGACGGGGGTCCCCGTGGCTCTCCCCCAGCAGGTCGGGGGAGACACAGGCTGTCCGTGTGTCTGTCTGTTCATTCCTCCATCCGTCTGGTCATCCTGCTGGTGAACATCTACTCATCCAGCCACCCATCCATTGGCTGTGCGGCCATCCGTCCCTCTGTCTGTCTGTCCAGCCATGGAACCATCCAGCTTCCCATCTGCCTGTCCTTCTACCCATACCTACCTCCACCCATCCGTCCGTCTGTCTGTTCAGGCAGCCAGTCACTGCTCCAGCTACCAGTCTGTCTGTCCATTCATCCACTGCTGCATCTACCACTCTGTCCATCCGTCCATCCATCCACCAGTCTGTCTATCTGTCTGTCCATCCATCCATCCATCCATCCATCCATCCATCCATCCATCCACTGCTGCATCTACCACTATGTCCATCTGTCCGTCCATCCACCAGTCTGTCCGTCTGTGTGTCCAACCATTCAACCAGCCATTGGTCCATCTGTCCGTCCATCCATCCAACAGTCCATCCACAAGTCTGTCTGTCCATCCATCTAGTCAACCAGCCATTGATCCATCTACAAGTCAGTTTGTCTGTCTGTCCATCCGTCCGTCCATCCATCCAACAGTGCATCCACCAGTCTGTCTGTCCATCCCTCTGGTCAACCAGCCATTGATCCATCTACAAGTCAGTTTGTCTGTCTGTCCATCCGTCCGTCCATCCATCCAACAGTGCATCCACCAGTCTGTCTGTCCATCCCTCTGGTCAACCAGCCATTGATCCATCTACAAGTCAGTTTGTCTGTCTGTCCCTCCGTCCATCCATCCATCCATCAGTCTCTCTGTCCACCCATCTGGTCAACCAGCCATTGATCCATCTACAAGTCAGTCTATCCATCCATCCATCCGTCCGTCTGTCCTTCCCTCCCCCCAGTGCTGGGCTTAACCCCATCTGTCCATTCATCTGGTCAACCAGCCATTGATCCATCTACAAGTCAGTCTATCCATCCATCCATCCGTCCGTCTGTCCTTCCCTCCCCCCAGTGCTGGGCTTAACCCCCCCACGACCCGGCCCAACAATGGGGCCCTGCCCCAAGGGGGGTGGGGGCGGAGCATCCATCCCAAGCCCCACCTCCAACAGGCCACACACCCCCAAGAAGCCCCACCTCTTCCAAAAGGCTCCACCCCCCCATCCCCCAAGGAGGGGCTGGTGCCACCCAGGACCAACCCCCTCTAAACCTTGGGACCCACACCCTATTGGAGACCATCCCAAGCCCCCCCGTCCCATCCCAGACTCATCTTGAGCACCCACCAGTGCTTTTGGGGCCAAATCATATAACTTGGAGCCAAATCCTGTAATTTAGGGGCAAATCCTGCAATTTGGGGCACAGCAGCGCTGCAATAGGGGTGTAGAGGCAGCAAACCCACACCCAGGTTCTGGGACCCCCACTGTCCCCCCCCAGGCTGGAGAAGGGGAGCAGGATCCGGCCCCACCAGCCGGGAGGTGGGAAGCGAAGCCGGGGGCCACCAGGAGCCACCCCAGCGGGAGGCCCCGACCTGCTTATTAAAGCCCGATTAGCACAGATTAAAGCCTGGGGGCAGCGTCTGCTGGGCTGAGCCCCCTCCCCCGTGGCCGTGCTGCCAGATTTGGGGTCCCTTCAGGGACATCCCGTGGTCTCCAGGGGTATCCAGACCCCCCTATCCCACTCCCTGGGTTGCCCTCCCAGTAGATGCAGCATCTTCCATGTCCAAAACTGAGCCAGGTGGGGGGGGATCTGCTCCCAGTTTGGTTGGGGAGACCCCATGAACATCCCATGGGTGCTCTGGGGGAGAAGCCACCTTCCCCCCCCTCCATCCTTCCTTCTGTCTGTCTGTCTGTCCTCCCAGCTACAAGAAGCCCCCCCCCACCCCCCCAAAATTCACCGCGCCGGCGTTCAAATAAAAGCTGCTGAAACCCACGGCTGCGCTTCCCTGCTCCTCCTTGGGGGTCCCACCCCGAAAAACGCGAGGAATTCACCCCAAAAAGGCCAGCCCAGCCCCTGGCTGGGAGCATGGTAGGGGGGGTGGAGTGGGGGGATGCTCAAGCACCACCCCCCCCATGGTTTCCACACCCCAGGGAGAGGAAAAAGAGATGAGATCGATTGCACAAAGAGGAAGAATTAAGCCCCAAAATCACCCCGGTGGTGCCCAGCTCCTCCTTTTCCAGCCCCCGGGAAAGATAAAGGAGGGGGGGGGTTCAAAACCGAGCCCTGAAACACCCCAGGATACACCACCCCCCCCCCCAAAATACCCCAAAAGAGAAGAGCCCGAGGCAGGGGTAGACACGTTCGTAACAATTTATTGAATGAGGCAATAATAGACATCGGGAAAACAAAGAGGGGGGGGTGTCCATGCTCTGCTACTTGCCTGGTTTTCTGTCTTTTTT